TAACACGTAAATCACATTCTAGTGTTGTAGATGCAGAACGAGGTGGATTACTCGGTAGCCAGATATCTTTAAAAACTCGAATATCTTTACCATCTCCCACGATATATATGCATCATTTCTTCAAAATCTCAATACCAGCCAACAAAGATATCCATCCATATGATTGTTTACTGCATGCTCTCCCTTCAAGTAGTTTTTTATCTTTAAGGTACCGAGCTTGGTAAAGCCTTGAAAACAGGTAATTTGGTTTTGAATATATTCGCCATGCTTGTTTTGCAAGTAAAGCATCATTAAATTTCGGTAAATCTTTGAAACCAAGACCTCCTTCTTTTTTAGTATACTGTAATTTCTTCCGAGCTATCCAAGGCAGACCCCGAAGTTCGTTGTTACCCCACCAAAACTTCATTAAAACTTGATCTATCTCTTGTGTTATTGCAATTGGTAATTTAAAGTCTGACATAGAGTAGATAGGAGTTATACTGCAGTAGATTTAATCATAACCTCCTTACCAGCAGGTGAAAGAAATTTAGTACTGCAATGAGATGTCCTCTCTTTAACCCGTTGAACAACTGTATTGAACATTTCTTTTTTTACGTCCAAACTGTTCGGGAAGACCCAAATACTTGCCACCACCACCATGATTTGAGATTCCAAGATTTTGTTTCAAAGAGTCTTGTTTAGAACTGTGTACCTTTGAACCAAAATTTATCACTGATTTATCTTGATTTATTTTTTTGACCAGAGACACACTACAAGAAAAATGGCTTTTATTAGCAGACGAAAAACGCTATCTATCAATACGATAACGGTTTATGAAGCGCTGTATCATCGCCCGTCATAATAGGTCAAGCACTTTAGATAGCGGTTTTTTGCACTGCTATTTTATTGTCATATATTATAGCGTTTTTTTGTATGCAATTAAAGAGTCTTTAATAGTATGATTTTTTTGTTATTATTTACATTAAAATTTATTTATTTTAGAATTAATTTTTAGTTAATTATTTAAAAATAAAAACGTAATTAAAATTTAAAATTATACATGGAATCAAATTTTCTTTATTATTTAAATTTATCTATAGTTAAATTGGTTTACAAAAATACAAAAAAAAAAATCTAATTAAATAATAAACCAACCA